TATTCTTAATTAATTAAACCCTAATAATTAAGCATAAAACACATAAAACGCATAATATTCACATAATTCTTTTTCATTTCTCCAAAATGAGTCACAAAGGTTAACCTAGACTATAATGTCAATATTAATGCATAGCCTATAAACACGGGCATTACAATGTATGCTAAATTAGGGTTTGCAAGCTTTGGATGATTATTGCATGTACAATTAGAAAAACTAGATTCAAAGCTTTAGGGTTTGCATGTGCACCATAGGATTGTTGTTTTGCTCAAAGCTCATCAATTAGTATCTTTGAAGATCGTTGTTATACAACACCTATTTAATAATAATAATAATAATAATAATAATAATAATAAAAACAGGCATCAACAACACCCTAGCTCGACTTAAATCAATCACAATAGAGAAGAGATGAGTAGTAAGTCAATAAATGATCTTTGCCAAACATCATTCTAAAGATATTCCCACTCAATCAAGTGAAAGATTGCATGAATTTGGCTTTTAAAGTTCAAACCTTATACACGGTGTGTCTTTTCTTCATTCATGATCAAACTCGATGAATGAGCAAGAATTGAAGGTTGTGAAGGTATGGGGAAGAAGACAGTGAGTGTGGTGATGCTTCGTCGTTGGTGAAGGTTGGTCAGCGGATTTAACGGAATTGGAGTAATAGAGGCTTACCGGTCATTCCAGTTGACCTTGCAGGTTCTTGTTAATCAAAACTTTTGACAACTATAACCATGTCTTCATCCCCATCTAAGAACACCTAAAACCCACAATCAGATTCCACCACCGATTTTGCACAGGAAGAAAATGATATAATGACGAGGTAATAGAGTAGGTAGAGATAAAAGTTGTGTTCCATCTTATTTCTAGGCGTAACAGAGCAAATAGAGCAACAATGAGCAGTGGTAGACGCCGACAGAAGGAAAAGGGTGGTGTTAGGTTAGATGGGAAAATGAAGTCAATGTTGTTGAGAGCCGACGAAAAAAAAAAGTTGGCATTTAGGTTTAATAGGGATGTCTTTTATTTTAAATTGAAATGAGTTTTGTAATTAAAATAAATTGATATAGAAATCCAAAGCTAATCCTCTCTAATAAATAAAGAACTTTTTGCCACATGTCCTCTTCTCATTCATTTGGACACATTACATTTTCTGGAATTTTTGAATTTTCTATTTTTCACTTGTCATTTTATTGTATTTTTCATTTTATTAAATTAAAATTTCATATTTAATATGTAAGGTAATATATATGTAAGGTATTTATTAGAAAGGATTTATATATGTAATGTATTCAATACATTAAAGCCTCATTAATTTTAATAATTCAAAATTTTTCTTATTTTTCTTATAAATTCAAACTTTTCAAATTGTTAAAATTTCATATTTAATTAGGAGTAAAATAGTAATTTTAGATCTAATTTGTAACCAAATGAGACCACGGTGACAAACCACGCAAAAAGTTAAAACCATGGGGATGATAAATGTAATTAAAAAATGTTAGAGGCAAAACACACAAATCTGAGAAACCATGGGGACTATTTTTGTAATTTTGTCTATATATTATTTAATTATTATTATGTTAATATCATAACTACATAACTAAAACAAAAAATTATTTAAAATTCAATTGGTAATATTTAACTTATATAGTTAGTATTATGTCAATAAAAATAAATAACACATAAATAATAGATTATATTTTTGTACAAAATTAATTACTTTTTTCGTTTTAGTTAATGCAGAATGTATTTTATATTTAACGACTACTATACTATACTTTCTTTTTGTTATTAAGATAATATAACAATTATATTTGATAATAATCATTTTAAAGATGTCTACAATATTTTCATGATGATACTTTTGCATAAATTTCTTTTTACCTTTAATTGGTAAATATTTAACAAATTATACAAAATATTCAAAATGTAAAAAGAATATAAAACTATTAAGTAAAAGTAGTACTAAAATAATGATTAATATGATAAACTAAATTTCTGGAAAAATATATAATATTCCTCCCATATTTTAAGTAGACTATTTTTTTCCAAATAAAAATTGAAGTTGGAATTGAGTGCGTAAATTTTAATAAACAATCCAATTTTATGTATAGGAAACTCTAACACAAAAGCACTGAAAAATGAAAATCACACCATGTCCATGAGTTCCCTAAATGCACTCAGTAGACAGGTGAGAATGTTGAAAAGTGTGATCTACCTGCCTGAATTTGCCAAGCTTAAAAGACAAAACTACCCTTGAAGAATCTTTTAGAACAAACTTTTTATTCGTACGGCAGTCAAGTTCATACACTTCCATTCTATAGCACCTTAATATAGAACAACTCTCAACTACTTTTAACCCATTTTATTATATCATATGCTTCTCCAAATTCCATCCACCTGCACAAAAACTATAAATAAATATCAACATTTTCTGACTTTATCTATTAAATCGTTTTTTATATATTAAGTAAAAAAAAACACTCATACCTGTGCTCTTGAGGGATCGATTGTCACCCCTATTGCCTCCAATCAATGTGAAAAACTCCCATGAGTGTTACAAAGAGAGTTATGGCCATAGAAAATGATAAAATGCTAAAACTTAAGCTTCAATTGCTTTTTCCAAACTTGCCATGTACGTCAAGTATATAGTCCACAAATATGAAAACGAACTATTCATTAATGGCTGTGAAAAGATATAAAACATATTTACGTTAATTTAGTATGTCATGTAATCTAAATAAAAAAAATATAAAAAAAGAAATTAAGAATTCGACATACCTGCAAATGAACGGGGATGATTTTGTAAGTGAAGAAATCGCACACCGGCCAATACATAAGACCGCCCGTTAAAGTTGGCACAAGATCTCTCCTTAATCTTGAACCAACCTCACTAGCACTTTCACCTGGATATCATGACGACATGACAGATCAGATTGTACTGTGTTTAGCATGCAGACTGGCAGTGTATATGTAACACCTTAAGTCCAAAATTAACCGTAAAAATGTTGAAGTGCGTACCTTGTAGAAACGCGTTGTAAATGAAAAAAACGGCGGTGCAAGTGGGTCCGTAAAAGATTTGACCAACAACTAACTTCTTGAAGGTGGTAGTCATGTCTCGTTTTGGTAGGATTCTTCCTAAGAAATTAAACCATACATGTTGTGCGGGCCCTAGAAAAAAGAGCCCGAACATTGACATGCGTAATGTTCTTATTATGTTTAAAGAACCCCAAGATTCCATGGTCATCATCTGGTTTGCAAATTGTAATGAAATCATATAAAGTGACAATAATCGAGAAAGAGAGACATTTTTGTCATTTTATAAACACTTAGGCGATTTTCAAGAAATATGATGGAAGGGCATTTAAAAGATACAGAACAAGTTTTACTGTTTTTGACATTTAAACGCTTAAACAGTGAGTGAGTGGAATAAAAGTTGCAGCTTTTTGTATATCTAAACTATAAACATTAATAACTCATTACCATGCCAACAAGAACAAAATTTGACTTTTTAAAAGTCTATTGAATGGTTTTCTAAATTCAGAAATTGATAGGAATTATTTTATGTTTTCAAAGAACAAGTTCAATATCTATACTTCCCTACATATAAACTTTACCGACAAGAAAACTGTGAAGATTAAAACCTAAAAAATCTAGGACAGATCTGGATTTTTCTCCAAATCAAGTTTGAAATTAGATAACAAATATCGCATCATGTAAAGCCATAAAACGCCCAAATCCAGGTTTAATACGAAGGGTTTTGATTCAGTTTACCTGTGCAGTCAAATCAGCAGCTGCGTAGATCAAGCCAGCGGAGATGCTCTTCGTGTAGAGCGGACGAACATCAAGCATCTTCAAATACCATGAAAGAGGCCCCATTTCCTGATCTGAAAAGGGGGAAACAGAAGAAGATTATGAAGATTGATATCAATTCGGATGAATTGACGAATAAATGGATTTGGGGTTTGCGGGATCTTTAAGATTCTTGCGAGGAAACAAGGAAGAATTAGAATAGTAAGCTCTGCATTTTGAAGAAATCGAAATGAAGATGGGTGTGCGGGAAAGATGGTGCCTTTGGCTATGGCTACTCGCATGTTTTGCTTATAGTGTTCCAACAAAATGAAAATGTTCACGCTCTTTGATCTTTGTTTTCTTTTTCTTTTTCGATTTTTTTTTCTGGAATGTTGATTGGTTGAACGGGTAATTCGTGTGACACTGAGAAATTTTGAAGTTGGGGTTTTGGTTTTCACTTTTTTACATACTTAAAAAGGAGTGATTGTTTCGGCTCTGTCCTGATTGTTTGGTTTATGTTTCTAGAAGTGCGACAATGATTTTTATATCCTTGGACGGAACAAATAACATGCAATAAGTTAGACGTATGAATAAATATCTAGTGTGATTGGTATTTAATAGTTCATTTATAATCTAAAATTTTGATGATGAGAAAAATTAAACTAATAAGAAATAGAAGTTAAAAAAAACAGCTTATTTAAGCAACACAGGCACGTATTTTTATTAGAGTAAATTATAGAAATCGTCCATTCTTTAAGCCTCCTTATGTGCCTTACGCCTTGTTACGATTTTCGGGTGTTTAGAATACTTGGAAAACTGAAAGTAGTGAAATTATACTTTCAGATCAAAGTATTTCGATGGTACTCTTGAAATCTTTAGATCAGATAAAACTCAATGTATATCTAGAACAGAGAATGAAAAGATGTTATGATCTTATTATGTACCAGAGAAAAAAACTAGAATGACCAATATTAGGAGATAACTCCTTTGTCTGAAAACTGATATAAAACCACCATATGGCAGTTTCATAACCATCTCAAACTATCAAAAAATTGTCACTAAAATCGGGTTATTTGCCCCTTGGATCCCGCCAGGGGTTGCCACTTGTTGTGATATGTCTCCGGCTTAACTCCGTCTCTTTGAGGATAGGAATGAAGGGTCTGAGAATCACAACAAAGAAAACAAGATCGTCAGTCGTCGTCCGGGAGACAGTCATGGAACGAAGCTCTGACGATCAAGTCAGTTCGTTTCTTAGAGAGAAGGTGAAAAAGTGTTATGTAAGTGTTTAAGGATTTTTCTCTCGATCCCTTCTCTTGGAGGAGAAGGGACATTTTTATACATGTGGTCAGGGGGACAGATCCCCGACAGTACCTTCTACATTTTCAGGTTTGACAGAGATAGATGGTCTCCGATTGGTAGATCGTGCTCCGCGAGTGGTTGTTTGCTATTGGTGCAGGTTTGCCAGGAGTGACGTCCTGAGCGCTACACCTGTCTCTATGGGAGGCGTTTGGTACTATTTTGTCTTGACGCTGGCCTTGGCGCTTGGGCGCCAAGGAACGAATATGAGATCGCGAGGGCGAGGGCAAGGACGCGACGTTAGGCATACGCCGTCCTTTGCCCAAACCGTCTATCAGACTGACGGTTCAGTTATCTTTGACGTATTCCTGGTGGCATACGTTAACACCACCCATTGGATATCGCTACCAGGGAAGCTACCTCCGAACCCTCGTCGGTTCAGGGGTTGCACCCCTAAATGACAGTGTACTTTGAATCTTGAATAAACTCAAACAAGTGTGCACTCCGCACCAACCTGGCTCGTTTAATATTCATCAAGATTGCATTGATCATCAATTTAATCTCATTAAATTTAAATAATATTAGTGATACAAATCACCAATACACCTTACACATAAGGCTATTGTGGCCATTTCAAAATTCCTTTTTATCTCCTTGAAATCATACACAAACACGAGTAGAATTGGAATAGTAACAAGAAGACACCCAAAAACCACGAACACACACAAATAAAATAATCATATATAAATGGACAAGTGCCTTCAATATTGACAACAATGGCGGAACCAAGACAAAGTCCAAGGTGTAGCACACATGATTTTGGGGGTAGCACACTGGAAAATTAACATTACGCCAGAAAATTCGCAAAAAAAAATTACCGTATGCCTAAAAATTTAAGGGGTGGCACATGCCACACCCCTGGAACCCCTCAAGTTCCGCCACTAATCGACAATGTTAAGCATATTTAGTAACAAATAAACTAAGCATACACATAACAACTGGAATTTGATGTCATAAACTAATTATACACATAATTAGCTATCCATGAATCAAAAGTCCATATAGCATTCTAAGATAGTTGGTGTAACTTCATAAACTAAGAATTCAATAGCAGCAGCAAGTGAACTAACTATATATGTACCCCTCATATCAATTGATAGATCTCTATCCCCTATAACAATTGTTGTGAATTTATAAACTAACATACATATACCAATTGCCAATTGCCAAAACATGAACTACGTCTACTAAAACCATACCAATTTGCATGAATGTTAAACCATAACATTGACATTTCATCAACCAAAGCATGTACCGTTCATTTCAATTTAAGTTGCATAACCATAATACATAAACAACAATATCCCTAAACCAATGTTGACTTAACTCACATAACAAAATAAATTAACAAAATACAATAATCTTTTAAGTTCCAACAAAACTATCAAACACAAGCAATCTTCATACTTCCCCAACCTTTCTTAATTGCATCTTCATTCCCTTCATTATATTCTGCAGCAATAGAAGTACCATGATTGCTACCTTAAGTACTAATACCTTCACCACAAAAATGGCCATATACAACCGTCACTTTCGAATTGTCACATTCTTCGGGAACATGTAATTCTTCATTACCTATTTAGGTTACCCACATCGGCCTTGTAAATGGACTTGCAAGAAAAAATAAATGTCACCTCAGTTCTAATCTTGCAAACTGTGAAAGGCATGTTGCAAGAGCAATTGGGCACCACTCTTCAATTTTAGCTAAAATTAATCTAAAAAACGTTTAAAAAATAATATTTCTTATAACTATTTATTGGATTTATCTAAAATTGCATGTTCATGATAATGTATAAATAAAGTATTTATGTAAAAATCAGTTTTATTATTATACTAATATTTTTAATAAAATTAAATAATACAAATATATTATTAAATAATTATTAATTACAAATAATTAATATATTTGTTAAGAGATATAGTGACAAATTGTAAATTGGTTGTTGATGTAATAATGGGGTCCACTTTGAAAGATGGATGTTATTGTACTGATGTGAATGGTAATTGGGAAAGCTTATGTGACTCATTTGAAAGGTGAATGGTATGATGTGGATGGTCTTAGACAAATATGTTCGCTCGTGTTCTCTGTAGACTTTGATTTCATTATGCTTTTCAATGAAGTTAGAAATATCAATGACGTCTTCCTCATTGCCTAGGGGATATTAAGGCCCAACTTCAAATCGAAATGGGGAACCAAGAAATCATAGTAAAAGTCTAACCTAGTGAACCAAAAGATCGGCTTCAGATCAGGACCGACCGACTGAAAGAAGGTAAAAGACCGAACCAAAAAAGACCAGCTCAAGACTATCTGGGGCATGTCCAAAAAAGAACGGACCGTTCCATGACCGGTCCTAAAAATACGGGATCGTAGGGATGGCAAAAAAACCCGAACACGACGGGGAAACTCAAAACCCGAGCATTTCGGGTCGGGTAACGGTTCTTTATCGGGTTTTTTATCGGGTTCGGGGCAGTGAATGGGTTGTCCTCGCCCCGCCCCGCCCCGATTACACACACACACACACACACACACACACACACACACATATATATATATATATATATAGGTGGGTTCAAATGTGGATGAACAAATATTGTGTGGATGTAGGGATTAGTATGGGCCAAGTATTATTTAATTTTAATAAATAATTAATTAAATCTTCCACCCTTTAATTTAGGCAAATTACTTTATTTAAAACCTACCTCTTCCATCTACATCGACAAAATCATATCCCTCCCGCGTACACTTCTACCCATCTTAATCTCTTACCGGCGATCAATCCTAACCCACCCATGTTTGAAGATGACAAGATCGTTGTTGTAGGGAACGACTTCAAAATCGAAATCAGAATCGGGAACCAACCCTCCAGGGCTCGTATTGCTCGTTTCCTCAACGCCGAAAAGGACGCCGAGCGTGTCGGTGTCGGAGCTCCTGTGTATCTCGTTGCCGTTCTTGAGTACCTAGCGGCTGAGGTGATTTCCTTGATCCGTTTTTTTATAATTTAATCGTATTATAATTTTTAGGGTTTCTCAGATTTCCGTCGAAAACATTCAAAACTTGAAATTCATTGATTACAGGTTCTCGAGTTAGCTGTAAATGCAGCAAGGGACAACAAGAAAACTAGAATCGTCCCAAG